ATTATTATTATTATTATTATTATTATTATTATTATTATCATTATTATAAAAAATATGACAGGAGATAATGTTTTGTTCAGAATTGGTATCTCTTAGGGCTGAAGAAAATTTCAAGCCACGCCCACAAAACAGGATCTTGATACCTCTTAAGGGTTCTTTTCAAAATTTCCGACGAGCACCCCCGTCCTTTTTATATGGGTGTGTCCCCCAGGAGTATCAGCTGACACTGTGGTACCAGTCTAGTAAACTTCATCTTTAATCTTAAAATTATCTTTCTTTATACACGGTGAAAATTCATCAGGATTTACAAATACAATGAATATATTTATATCTATATTAAAACTAATATTATCATTATAATACATTTAGTACAGAATTGAAAAATTATGTACTAATAACAAGCATGCTCTCCATGAATGCCCTGTATCTGTTTTATGAATTCAAGATTGAGCAAGTGCTTTAATTTTTCAAGCGAGTTAGCCTTTCCAAGGTTACAGGGTAGGCTGTTCCAGAGGGTTGCACCACTGTACCTAAAACTGCTTTTGGGAAAGTTAGTTCATGAAAAGGGAACAACTAGTTTGTCTGCGGAGTCTCCTAAAGAGTAGCATATTACATTCCATTTAGGAAATTTGAATGAGAGGTATTCGGGAAAAGGACCGTTCAGAGACCCATATACCATCAGAGCTTTATCAATTTGATGTTGGGTGTACAGGTCTTTCCATCTGAGATGCTGAAGCACGCAATTGGCATCAACAGCATAACTCAAAGTAGTTATGGAGTTTTTTTGGCCTGCCAGATAGTGTTTTTTGGCAGTATAAGAGATACCTTTTCAGTATCACCGAAAAGCCCCTCATTGGAGTGTTCAATAAAGTCTCATCTCATCTCATCTCATCTCATCTCATCTCATCTCATCTCTCATCTCTCATCTCATATACATGTTCTGGTGTAAAAGAGCGTGAGAACATTTAAAATATTAATTTTCATGTATTGCCCAGGAAGTATTATTTAAATTTGCTTAACTGTTAAAATGGTGAAACAATTTTGTCTTAAAATGCACTGCATTTTTAATTTCAGTGGACACCAAAGGATGATCTTGCAGCTTTGAAGATTAGTGGTAAGAATAGTCTCACTTAAAATACATGTACTCTGATCATTGTGGAAGTATCTCTTTAAATGACACATCTTCTCTGTGCTTTGCAGCTGCGCATGCATTGTTTTGCATGCTGGGAGGTGTATCCCAAAAATAGCCTTCTTTATAACCAACTTTTTAGCTTCCGACACACTGAATCTTCTTACAAATAACTAACCTCCATATTCTCAACGTGTTTATAGGTCGCTGTGATGATGTTATGAAAAGAGTGATGGACAAACTGAATCTTGCCATTCCAGAGTACAAAAGGTTAGTGTTTAATCAACAGTCTCTTTCTTAACTCACCAGTCACCTTTTAAAATGTTCACTTGATCTAAATAATAATCATTTTACGTAATTTATGAAGTACAACCCAGGTGAAGAAGGCATTTCTGTGATGTGAAAGAGTGCCGACCATGGAAAAATGTTGCTTGATTTGAAGCTCCACATACATGTACAAGCTTTTATACCATGACATAGAAAATACAGCCAATCAAAATAGAGGAAAACCGTTGCATATATAAACAATAGCCTCCATTTGGCGCGAAAATATGCTCGGATATTTGTCCTTGGACATTATCTGTTCCKYMAAGCKMACAGTTTTCCGGAAAACTGTKMGCTTKRMGGAACAGATAATGTCCAAGGACAAATATCCGAGCATATTTTCGCGCCAAATGGAGGCTATTGTTTATATATGCAACGGTTTTCCTCTATTTTGATTGGCTGTATTTTCTATGGCGTGGTATAAAGGCTTGTACATGTATGTGGAGCTTCGTGCGATATTTGTATTAAGTCACAATGGCCTCTTTTCCTGAGCTTGGTTTTATTTTCTTGTTAAACGAGCGAGTTCAGAATCACATGGGAACAATCATCTTTTACGTTTTGCAGAAGCAAAGATTCTCTTTTTACACTAGCGACGACACTAAGGCCTCATGAATTGGACACTTTTAGTACCAAATACTTAACCATGTCTGGACCACAGTGCCCTGTGGCCCAATCTCCTGATAACGGGAGGAATGAATATCTGGTAGTGGAGGATAGTAACTGTAACAACAGTGAGGAAAGTAATTCATACAGCTGCAAAACGGAGAATGGTGCTCGTTCAAGTCCGAAACGTCCAGGTTGGTTTGGTAAAGGTTACGCGAAAGCAAAGAAACCGAGCAAGAAAAGAAGACTAAGATGATGACTACCCACGGTTCAACCGGCAACAGACTTCAACTAATAATATTATATATTGTTACGAAAGTACTGAGGGGTGTAACCAAGAGCAACCTTTACAGAGTAGCTGCAATTCGTCAGCGTTGGAGGAAAATATTGAAATATGCCACTTAATTTTGCTCTCTTATTGTGTTAGTTATTGGCTATGAGAGTATAATGGACATACATGATTGAACCAGTACTGGATTCATGAATGCCCCTTCGGTAACGCTTATTAATTATGCAAAGAAATGCGCCGAAGGAAACTTCAACAATACATCAGGCTTAATTGGTCGAACCATCCATGGTTTGTATCTTTGCTTGACTGGGTCTCGGCAAGATACAAACCATGGCTTGACCAAACTCGCCAGATATGCCGCCGAAGCCTATCTAAATGGTACGTTAGGTGTAACAACTATATCTCCAGTGATGACCTTGAAAAACAATTCTGTTCAAAATAGGTGTGGCAGGTATTAGCGTATCAACAAGGTACGATTAAGTATTGACCAACCTATCCATTTCTAACAAAAATCCAGCCATATCGGGTCAGTGGCTTGATATCGCATGATAGTGGAGACAAGGCTTTTGATTGGCTGATTGTGAATTCTTTAAATAATTGAAGCTGTAACAAAAAAGAAAATCTGCTTTGAGAGCATACTGTTTCGAACCTGTTTGAAAATTGAGTGATTGTTGTCAAGAGATTGACATTGTAAGTTAGTGGTTTGACGCAAACTAATTTTCAGATGTTACTTTGAAGGCGTAACGGCTGGTGCTTATGGCCCCGTCAACTCCAAGCCCGCTCATCCCCCCTGTTCTCAATAAATAAGCCACACCGTAAATGCCGGAATAGCAACCGGAAAGTCTAGACGTGCGAGACGGGCGCGCTTATTTTTGTACTCAAAGTTTGGTCTCAATAGGACATTGTCTTCACTTCAGGTTAACACAAAACTTTAATGCAAAGTTTGGGAAATATCCTGTTGTAGAAACACATAGTTGAGTGTGCGATACACATTAACACTTCACTTCAAGGCCCTGACGTCCACTTCAATTTCTTTATCGTTCTTCAGTATTCGTGGTGTCTTGGGGGATGGAGCGGACGGGGTGCTTGCCTGGGGGCACTTATTTGAAGCTGGGTGCATTATCAGTGTGGTTTTCAAAGACTCCTCAAAACTCTTCCCATTGGAAGATACTGGTCGAGGCGTGAAGGCGTGAAAGCCGAAACCCTAGGAACTTGTGCAAATAATGCACAACGGTAAATGTAGCACATCTTTAACGGCTCAACGGGAAAACGAACTACCTTTTGCGAAATTCCGCGGTTTCTTCCTGAAAGTTTTCAGTGAACTGAACTGGAAAGTCGTGTTGCTTTTACATTCCAACCGAAATTACAGGAGGAGTGTTGTGAACGGAAAACAACTATGGTGTCTAAAATAAGTTCTTTTTAGTATGTGGGGGTAATAAAGATGCGCCGAGAGTATATACTGACCAAACAGTGCCATAAATATATACTATGTATATGGACTGAGAGAAAGAAACTACAGCTGGTCTAATGCACTGCCCCCACCCAACCGCCCATATAGATCGTTTTCACTGTCACGCAATAAAAAAAGAAATCGAAAACCATCCAGTGGAAAAAGCTATGAAATAATGATGTTATAGAAGATAACTAAATAAGACACTCCTCCAAGTTTTAGGCTTGCGCGTTTCCCCAAACTTCAGATATTCGTCGAAATGTTTCGCAGAGCCTAGTATGAAAACGCTTTGTTGGTGTACCTCCGTGGTACACCAATATGGCGGCCGGAAAATAGTGTAAACATCTGGAACTTACTTTGGCTATCTAGGCGACTGATTATCAGCACT